GACCACTACAGACCTATGCGTGGCAGAAAAAACTTACCTGAATTGCTTAACGCCTACTTCCTTTAAAATTTACTTGAATTGAAGCTGTGATTGAAAACTTGTCAATGTGTGCCTAAGAAGTCAAAACGGAACCTAGCAGTTTGCACTGTTAGTATACGGGATTGGTGTTTACCTACGTGACTAGCTGCAGGGCTTAGGATTTTACATCAAAGTTTTTTAAGGCGGTCCAACTCCTGCCAGTATTTTAGCCTACAGCGTTAAAACAAAATGCAATTTCGGTATTCCATTCTGAAATCAAGCCGCATAGGTAAGCGCCGCACTCGAGTGACCTTAATTTGTGTAAGTTCCGTTTGAAGCACCGCATTACCGACTGATTATTGACCTGTTGATTATCGGTGAAACAATTGGCCCTCGCAAAATATTGAACCAGATTTCAAATTCTGGATCTTAATAGTCTTGGGGTGGTTTATTACGGGATGCGGGCGACTGTTAGGCCAAAAAGGATAACTCCACTATCCTCTGATCTTTTGATTGTAAGACCTTTCTTCCACATTATCTGCTGTTTGCACAGGCATCTGAACATTCTAAGTGTCTCATCCGCATATGGCAAAAGCAATCGTATATTATAACACAAGGTTCATTTACTTTATTTACTTGCAAGCTGAGTATCCATCGTCCAAATTACGAAGGTAAGCTCTTTCGACACCCAAAACGGTGATGGAACATAGGGTCTCACAGTTATGATGCCATTATAGAGCAAGTTGTGAGAGTTGGAATTAAGCTTATAAATGTCATTTTTTCCTTAAGTTGGATACTTGTAAATTAGCAGGGGCAGTTTTGAATAAAATATTTAGTGGCCAGCATAAATTAACCTGCATTTATAAAAAAAAATAGATGCCTGCTGCAGGATTTAGGCTTCCAAATTACTACCATTGCGATTAGTGGCCTACAAAACTGGCTGGAGAATAATAGCATCTTCACCAAAGATGTGATTCTCCCTTTTGCTAACTACTGCATCCTGTTCTACGAATGTACCGCTGTTCCCTACTAACGTCAAGCAAGTGTTCTGAGGCAGTTTCACACTGGACATACGGGACTCAACCGCACGAATGCTCTCCCTTGTAGTCATGCGTACTGCTTTCACGCGGACCAACAACTGTCTTACGCGGGCAGCAACTGCGTCCACACATTGACGGCGCCCACGAAGACCACACTCAACTTACGTCCCGTCTCAAAAGCCCCATGGCCCCAAGTACACATGGCAGGTTGATTGTCGTATCAGACAAAGTTCGCGCCGTGTGCCCCGAAGTAGGGTGGCGCAGGGACGGGGACTTGCGTGTCAATTACATTAGCGAGAGATTTGACTT